CTCACCCAGGCTCATCCCTTCTACAGTGCTTCTCCACTTAACTGCTTTCGATCATAGTTTTTATTCATAGCGAAATCCCAACTGATGCTTTAAAATTGCAGCTAGCTGTTTAATGTTAACTGAGTTACCAGTCAAGCAGTGACTCTACTTCAGCTATGGTGATGCTGTTGTTTTCAAACTTTCTCCAACTAATGAGTCATTAAAAGTAGTAATAAAGGGGTTTGTTGGGGCCAAGTGTCCCTTGGAAACACTCAGCCCATGCTAATTACAGTGGGTTAGCAAAGAGGTCGAGACTGATAAGTGTGTGGGAGGGGGCACAGAACAGTAATGGTGAGAGGAGTTGAAAATAGTTGCAGGAAATGTTCATTATACAGCTTGTTCACATCAACTTTCCCCTCCCGTTGAAAACAAAGCTCATTTTGAAGACACTTGTAAAAGTTGCTCTTTAGGAATCAAACTCCCTTATGTCTTAATAACTGGTAACATTCCAGAAATGTAAACTGCAGTAGAGTAAACAAAGAACTCATCTGTGCATGGTTGTTTTAGTCTCAATGAAAGCTGGAGATAAGATCTTGCATGACTCTGGTGCCACATTAGGGCCAGTGCACGGCTTTGTTCTGTGGACCTAATCCAGATTCTACAGAGGACGAGGGAGATTTTTCCACTGACTTCCATGACCTTTGGACCAAGTCTGCTATTGATTTGTTATCATTCCTGAAGAGCCACAGACTGTCTTACGGACAGATAGTGCACTACATCAGGGAACTTGGCAACTTAAAGGCCCTGTTCTGCAATTATCAAAATGTGCAAGTACATTTATGTGTGTGACTGAGCAAAGCTAGTAATGTGTAGGTGTTTGCACGGATGTTAAATTCTGATAAAAGATGACAGTGAGGGGAAGGTATACAATAAAAATAAGATGATGAGAGATGTGCAATTAACAAATTCTTAGCTTGTAACTAGGTAGTGTGTATCTGTGTAATCCATGTTGCTAAGAGATTGCACTGTATTTGCTATTCAAAGTAGCAGAGCGTTATAGTATAGAAGCTGGTTCTTTTCTGGTTAGTCCTTTAGCGAAACTCCAGAGCCGAGAAGTTTTTAGGGTGTGGGTAAATCTGACAGATATCTAACTTCAGAACTGTGCTTATGTGTGTTTCATAGTCACAAAACTGTCACATCACAAATGGCAGGTGGTCCTCTGAGAATGATGTCTGCAGGAGAAAGAGTTTTGTGCTTGAATGGTGGTATGTCTGCAACACTGTAGCAGACAGGAAGAAATTAATTGGGAGGTGAAATTTTCGTGCAGATAGTGAAAGAAAATAGACTTTCAATCAAAACAAAAATCTGGACAAATTTAGTTGGCAAGATTGAAATATTGTTTTGAGTTATTTAAAAAAAAGTAGGAGAACTCTTAAAATACATAATCTTTTTCTGCAGTGAAAACAATCTCTTTCCTTTTCTTGAGTGACAGTTGTTCATGCAAGTAATAGAATGACCAGGTAATTTTCTCCATTGAAAGTAAATGCTAACTTTTGAAAGTTTGAAAGGGAAAATTTAGTATAAAATGGAGAAAACCAGGATTTTTGTTCCCTTTTTTGTAAATAGTCTTACATTTCAAAAAATGTAAGGGATTAAATAAGATTGTCACATCCCCACCAGGTACAAGTTCTAGCCTACCTACAAAATTTGAATTTAGTAATTAATTTTATTCTTTCCTAGGTTGCACTTGTAGCTCTATCTCCAATCTTTTCAGAGATAATGTAGCTCCATGAGCCATGTTTAGCATAATCAAAATAATCATGTAGGTGCAGGAAACCCAGGATTAAAGAGAACTACAACTAGCTATAATTAGACAAATATCTGTGGAAGGTTAATAGCATCCTACTTCATCCTCTTGGGGTGTCTGTCAGGGCTGTCAATTTTCTGGCTACTTGGCAAAGATGGTTGCATTTTTATGGTGCCACCGTAGCAGATTTGCTGGCTCTTTTGGCTGTTACAATCATGGGAAATATGCAGAAAGTTGTCCTGTATTGAGTTCTGTTTCCAGGGTCATGCTCTTTGAGTTTCTAGGATTTTCAAACCCAGGTCATTGACAGAAGCTCAAGACTTTTGGCTCATGTTTCAGACTCCAAGTTATTTTCTTCTGTTCATGGACACGTCAGCCCAGCATCAGGACCCGTACAGGTGCTTCCCTGAGTGGAAATCTGTGTCTTGTCCTTGAAACTGGCTACTGGCCTACACAGATTGGAAGGGGATCTTTCATGTGTGGTCCCACCCCTGTCCAGGAACCTCTAAGAGTGTTTCTGTCGTTTTGCAGAGACCTTTTGCTGGAGAAACAAAGTTTTTGGTTTTTTTTAAAGTAATTTAAGTGGGTCAGAGCTCTCCCAGTATCTGCTTACATTGTGCTTCTCCCAGCCAACAAGTGCATTTTCAGCAGCTCCAAACTCAGGCGAATTTTTAAAACTGCAGGCATGATAATAATGACGTGATAAATCTGATTTACTGTAAAGTGCTGCCAGCCCAGGCTTGGCTGTAAAAACACAAACAAACACAAAAAACCCCAGCAAAACAAAACAACTGAAACCAAATCAATGGAAATAATTCCTTACAAAATTGCAATACTGATAGCCTTGCTTTTAAACAGATGACTAGCCCCTGACAGAATTTGGCATCTCTGAAAATACTGAAGCACTCAGCACCTAAAATACAGAGGATGGAAAAATTAGACTTCTATAAAATCAGTTGTGCTAATTTTTCACTAGCCACATTCAGAGGAGAGCACACTCCTTCCTTTTTAATAAGTGATTGATTTGTTAATAATAAAGTGCATCTGAGATACAGTCAGGATGATAGATTTTATAGGCAATAACCTAATAGCTTGAACCAGCTCTTTGTAGCTGCTCATTAAAAAATTTGAGTTTGGACTTTTATGTTTCTCTCCTTGCCCCACCTTGGCTTTCTTGTAGCAGCCACAGCAGCATCCTTGTCTTGCAGGAACTGTGATGCATTTTTGCTGTTGCCTATGTTTACCCACTTGGTAATTTTTTCTTTCCTATTTTTCACTTATTTTGGACATTTTATAGCAAGTGGTGGTGGTCTTATGTATTAGTGTTCCCTTAGGTGTAAGAAGCACTCATTCGTTGCCATAAATGGTATATGAAATGGTATTCTTTAGAGAAATATTTTTTCCCTTGTAAAAGGAAATCCGAACCTTTTAAAAGACTTCATGTACAGAAAGTGTGCTAAAGGAATTTGAAGTGTAGGGCATGTTCCCAGCTACCTCCTCTGAGGATTTCATCAGCACTTGTTAATTAGAAGAAGACTGCCACTAGGTCTGCCAGTTGTCATGTATATTAAACAGCATATTATCTCCAAAGTTAGAAACTGTTTGATAGACCATGTGAAGTGTTGATCAGCCTGGGAGTGTCTAACTGCAGTGAAATTCACTGAGGTGATTAATTGTTTTTCTTCAGGATAACTAAACCATATGGCAAAACTAACTTCTATGACTAAGGAAGTGCTCTGGGGCACTGAGTGGGGAAACAGCCGTACTTAAAAGGAACACTCAAGGCATGTAATGTGTCTTGATGGTATTGAGAAGGATGAATATCAGTGAGAAACATTTATTTATAAAAAAGTAACATTCCAGCGAAATATTGACATGCTCTAACCTCTTTGAATGTACAAGAAGTGACAGGAATAACTCAATGCACTCAATAACTGTGCATCAATTGCAGAAATCATTAAATCTATAGGTTAGACCTGTGAATAGGAAATCAGACTTCTAGTAAAGTTCCCTGTGAACTAGATGACAAGGTTGCTGTGGGTATAGCCCAGATGCATAATTTTGTGTGTCACGCAGGTAGAAGATTTAAAAAGGAAATATATCTATATGCAAATCATCCTTCCACTTCAGTAGCAAAACAGTTTTATGTATAAACATGTGCTGACCACCAGGATGCAAGAAGATTGTGCCTAACAAAATACTCTTTGATGTTACTTTATTTATTTTTATTTAGGATGGGTTGGTTTTGTTTTTCACTCTGTTACAATACGTTTGCACAACCAATAAGGACACCCAGAGCTGGCTATTGATGTTTATTGAATCATTCATATCAGATAAACACTTTGGGGAATCTCACCATGGAAAGTAAAAGCATTCGTTTGAGAGGGGACAAATCAGAAATCCTTATTGGGAGAAAAGGTTGTCTGCTTGTTTAATTTTTAAATGTCTGAGGAAAAGGTGTGATTTCAAGTGGCAGGACTGAAATGTGGACACATCAGGGTGGGGGTTCTGGTGTGGGGTGTTCGCAGTCAGGTTCACAACTTGCGGTGGAGATGCTCTGGGATGCATTAACCCTTTGCACTGTGCAGCCTCTTAGATGGAAAGGGTTTTCATATGCCAGTTCCAAGACAAACTATGAAGTCAATCATCTAATCTGTTCCAGTTGGAACAGTTCCTGTCTCTCTTTAGTGCTTACTGCCTGGACAGATTGTAATACACAAGGGTTGAGGTCTCATTAAGATATCATTTAGAACTGAAAACCTATTCAATTTAATTTTTAAATATTTGGCATATGTTGTTCTTTTTTCTCCCTCTGTATTTATAGTTTTCACTGACATGAGAGGAAACCATGTAATTATTCCACTTTATTAGCATCAGAACAGACATTTAAGAGCCTGTTTTGGTCACTTGAGAACGGAAAATTGGACACACATGGTGGGATTATTGTGGGATCTGGGCCCATAAGAAAATGAGCACTCTTAACTTCCTAACGCCGGCGCATTGAAGACTCACTCAGTACTTGCCTGTCCCAATCACCTGCGTCCTTTAGTTCCTTCACTTGAAGTGTGTGACAAAGCCATTCACTTAAATGGGAACATTAACACTGAAAAGTAGGTGCAGAGGTCAGCAGCAGGAAGCCAAAAGGGAGTGAACGGAATTTTTTAGTAATCTGGCAGTTTAGTTCACCAAATGCAAATGATAAACAATTATTTTCTTATTGCTCTGTTTCACTCTCCCATGCTGATCTCTTTCCTGGGTGCTGACGTTTTTTTTCTACCCTGTCTTTGGTAACATTTTCTACTAAATCGAGCAACAAGCTGCCTTTGTTACAGGTGAAGGACTCCTGGAAGTTGCAGGGGCCTGCACCGTCTGGGCTGTCAGAATTCCACTGCCTTTTTCCAGGGTGCTGGTGTTTCTCACCATATTGGGGATTTAGGTCTACCTCATCATTCCAGCCCCTTTTGCTAGGATGCTGGCGCTTGTACATCAGATACCTTCTGCCTGGATGCTGTCTTTTGGAAAAGTCATTCAAGTAGGTTAGCTGTGCACTAGGGACATCAGCATACTGATCTGTCAATGACCTTCTGCCAGGATGCTGTCGCTTTTTCAGCTCCAGATAGCCGTCAAGGTTGTCTTCTATCTCTCTTTTCCCTGGATGCTGCCTCTTCTGAATGCCTCCATAAGATGGGTCTTCTTCAACATCTCTTTTTCCAGGATGCTGTCTCTTCTGCAGGTCACTTAGGTACTTTTTCCCAGGGTGTTGTCTTTTGGAAAGCCATTCTGGCAGAGGGGCATTTGATTCTGTCCAAAGAAAACAATATTGTTAATGAGCCCCCATAATCCTCACTAAGGAAGTTGAAATGGGAATTTGTGGAGTTCTATGGTGCAGGATCATAATCTGTTGCTCATTATGTCCATTTAATTGCATGGTTAACTGTATGGTCTTGAACTTGATCACTCTGGATGGCATCTGTCAAAACGGTTCTGGCACATTTTTAGCAAGGATGGGTTGATACATTAGGAACTAGCTGCAGCCAAATGGGAAGACATGCAATAACAAAGCGTGATGTGTTGATTCAGGTAAAAGTGTCAGAATCAGGTGAAGGGAGGTGAGTAAAAGATGCTGAGCAGCTGGAAGAAATCAGCTGCAGAAGCTGGGTATGGTGAAGAGCTGGAAATCAGCATGAGACAGGGAAAGGATAGGGCTGAGACACAAGTAGAAGCAGGGATGTGGACATTAGAAAGCCAGCTCAGTATTTCCAGCTACCAGTCATAACTTTGTTAGTATCTCTTACTCATTCTTAAGCTCTTTTAAATATTTTGGGTCTTGGATCGACATGACCAACTCTCAGCATTCATGTGAAGAGGGAGGAAGGCTCTTGCTATGGGCACTTGGGGCCAGCTCCTCTTTACACTCTGAAAGGGCTCTGTGCTCCTTGTTAATGGCAGGCACCTATGTGCTGCTTCTTGCAGTCCCTGAGTCTGATTTGCTTCCACTGCTGTGACTAGTGAAAGCAGAGCATCTGCAAGCTAGGAGGCGGCGGACGCTAGAGCAGCCTCTGCATTCGCAGCCGTGCGAAAGCCCGCCTCTGTTGGGGTGTACAAACCAGTGGGTTGAGGGAGTAGGTGAATGGCAGCACTCCCACCTCCAATTATCATTAGGTACATGGTCCACAACTGGGGAGTGTCCTCCACGTGTCCTCTTAGAGCTTCCCTAGGGAAACACTTGCTCAACAGGCAAGTTTTCTGTGACAGGCTTTTCCACCTTCTTGTTATGCAGCAGCTGCTCAGCGATGTTACAGCATTGCCTAAGTGGGGAGATCTTAGAGAATAAAGTGCCTTTTGAGAACTCTGTGTCAGTGTATTGCAGCAGACCTCCTATTCTTCCGCTTCCCTTAGTTAGAGTAATAAATATATACATTAGAACCTGGGAACTACACATTGGATCTAATGATCTCAGCCAAGCACTATGCCAATACCACCAGATGGATGTCCCAAGTGTTATATATACCTTTATTCATCTCTTCTTCCTTTTCAGCTTTCGTGAGGACAGACTGAAGAATGAGGCTTTCAGATCTCTGCAGGATGTCATTGAAGGGACTTCTTCCCATGTTCTCACTTCCCTCTGGAAGGAGCTGCCCCCCGTTGAGGCAAACACCACACAAGGTCAGGCAGAGGAGTAGCAGTTGCAGCTGAATAGATGACATTGTGGGATGGAGGTTCCGGCAACTTCCATGAGAGAGAGAACAACAGGGGAGGAGGATGGAGCAAACAAACCTAGCAATAATAGCAATATTTCCAAAACTGAAAAGGAAATATGGCACTGCTGTAGGGATTGAAGTTTCTTACGAGGGTCCTTCCTCATTTCTGTTACTAATCTCTCAGTTTATTTTGTATTCCTCGAAGAATCTGTAAATTCTTCACAATTAAAACCAGGCACTTGTTCATTTCTCTGGCAGAATAGATATGAACATTTTAAACACGTAACTTCCTCATGCAGAGATAGTTCTGAAAGCCGGTGAATTTGCTTTGCCTTCTGCCAAGAGGCAAAAATGATTTCCTTCTTGAACTCTGTTAACTGTTGCCCCACATAAGGCACACACACATATATACCTGCACTAACCATCTCCACCAGGCAATTCCCTTTGCTATGGGTTAATTTTAAAATAATACTAGGATTTGCAGCATTTTCATTCCACCTTTAGTTAAAGCCCAACTTTAGTAGCCCATTAGTCTGTTAATACCTATATCTATACATTCAAAGTATCAATGTGTCTTCTTATTTGTCAATATAATAAGACAGCTGTGCTCCATTGGTCAGGGAGATTTCTTGCATTAGGGAAGCATCTCATATTTTTTTCAGAGACATAATAATAATTGTATCCTCTGTTACCTCTTTCCCAGATAACGAGTGTTTTTCTATTTCTTCTACCTAGCAAGGGAATTCCTAACACACTTATGGATTTATTTCCCAGTAAGCAGAGTTCTTCAGTAGAATGGAATATATTTTTAATACTAGCATAACAGTCATTTAGCTTAATTATATCTTCAGAACATAAAAGAAATGCACAATTTTATGAAGTTCTACAAATTTTTAAAATAGAGAATGAGTTTGTTACCTCTCTTACTGGCAGGTTTCTATCACTTCTGATGAAGTCCTTGGATAACAGCCCTAAGAAAATCACATAGGCTATTTGGTTCAGAGCAATCTTTAGAAGGAAAGTTAGAATCAGCTAAAAAGGAAATTATTTAGTAAATTACCTGGTTTGTAGTTTCAGATTTTTGCTTGATGCATCTGCTGAGAAATTGTTTAGTCCTTTAAAGCTGTTTGCACATCTAAGCATCAAAGTTGCCCTTTTTCTGCTACAGACACACAGAGTATCCAATAGAACTGTTGCTAAGTTCTCTTTGGATGGCTTGTGTCTCTGTACTTATACAGTACTGCCTCTGGACCGTTTATGCAAATAGTTGTGTGAGGTAATTTAGGTGATGTGTTGTTTTTTTTTTTTCACTGATTTCAGAGATCTGCATTTTGAATGCCTTTTAAAACTCCGATAGTTATTTTGCTGACCACTCTGTATCCATGCTGGACTCGCAGAAATTGCTATTTTTCCATTCTCTAAAGAGATTATGTTGAATTTTATTTAACATAGCATAGAGAAAATGAGGGTTTTCTCTCTGTACCCTGTGTTAAGCAAGCACTGTGGAGTAAACACAGAGAGGTAGGTAATTTATCAAGCTAAGGAAGAAAAATAATGAAAAATGTAATGGATTATATGCAAGTTTATACCATGGGTTCTTATTCTGAATGACACTGTACAGTTTTTGGCTCACAGTTTCATATTTTCTTGGCATAGGCTTTCATAAACAGTACATTAGAGTATGGGGTGCACAGCATTAGATATTAAAATGTAGTTACGTTGTTGCTATATGCTTCAAAAAGCATTATACTACTGTAAAAAGAAATAAGACTCCCTCTCTTTAACCCCTCTGTCTGTTTAAGGTATTCTTCTGCACAGTACTGCTAAAAACAGATTGTGCAGGGGGCACAGATAAAGAGCTAGAGATTCTTTGATAATCTTAGTTATCCTGATGACAATATGTAGGACTAAAACTGGAGTATGGATTGCTCACATTTGTCTTCACCAGTAAGTAGTGACAAAAAACAACAGCCTGTCACCATGGCTTGAGAACAGCTTTCTTTGTAGGACACTGGCATTTTAGCAGCTCTCTAGGGTGCTGTGCCACAGTCTGAGACAGAAGGCATTTTGGGGGTACTCTTAAAAGCACTGCACATAAAAGTGGATCAGTTATGGTTACAGGTAATGTGTATCCTCATGTGGCTTGTAAAATTTCCTTAAGGCAAAAGACGTTTTGTGTCTGAGCAGATCATGGAAATCCCATATAAAACTAAAAAGGGCTGAAGTCACTTGTCTGTCAACATGACTTACCACCTGTCATAATTGAACAAAAAACGGTCACCTTACAGAGCTTTTTTCCCACTCCGTTCAACTTTATATGATAGATCAGAAATGCAAGAAGAATCTTGAATTTCCTAAGGAACTGAAAGCTGACTTTTTCAGGGTGACTTCAGTGGAATGCAGTCATTACCTCAGTGTTATTCCATTGTGGTCCTCTCCTGAATTTTGTCTTAATTTCTGAGGAAGAATGCATCAGTAATTGTACATAGATGTACTTTTTGATATTAATTACCATGATGTAATTTGAGAAGAGTCTTGGATGTCGGTGCACTTGTTCCAGATTTGCAGTGGGGGCAGAGATTTGTGCTTACAGCATTATAATTGCATTTGTAACAATTATATTTAAAATGGAATATATTTTCCTTCTTGTTTATATTTCTGAGGGAGTTTGAGACATTGTGCACCTTACATGCAGAACACAAATATGGCTTTATGAAGATGCCTTTGCCAGTCTAAGACCATGTCAATATAGTTTTCCTGAGCAGGCTTCAGAACCAAAGATCTGCAAGGCAATTACATTCAAAGATCAGCAGCCAATTTACTATAGCAGGCCAGTAAAAAATAACTAGGCAACTAATAGTCCAAAAGCAAAGCAAAGTTCCCTGTAAAGACAGTTCCTATATATTTTTAGTTTTAAGCAATGCACTTTCCAGGAATCTAATTTGGGCACAAACTGAGGCACAGGAAGTTCCGTCTGAAGATGAGGAAGAACTTCTTCCCTCTGAGGGTGACGGAGCACTGGAACAGGCTGCCCAGGGAGGTTGTGGAGTCTCCCTCTCTGGAGATATTCAAGACCCGCCTGGACAAGGTCCTGTGCAGCCTGCTGTAGGTGACCCTGCTTCGGCAGGGGGGTTGGACTAGATGACCCACAGAGGTCCCTTCCAACCCCTACTATTCTGTGATATTCTGTGAATGCTGGAAAGTGTTTTAAATGCTTTTGTTAGTACCAGAGTTGCTTGTTTAACAAAGTAATAGTTGTCTATAGCTTAGCCCCAGATTTGCCCTAACAAAATGCCTAATCCAGAGTCCACTGAAATCAGACAGATTTCTTCTTTAGTTGAAGTGGGGTTAGCCTTAGGACTTGTCTGTCTCTGGCTTGAAATGATCTGAATATTGAACTGAATTTAAAAAAAATTCTCTCACACTTTGAAGCATGGCTCTTGAAAAGCGTAGATGGGAAAAGAGAAGGTTAAACAGCTGAAACACTTTCACATATACAAAATCATATAAGCAAATTAACTCAAGGAACAGCTAAGAATTTGACGTTAAAAATAGCCTCCCATATGAATGTGTTTCATCTTAGCACTGAGTGAATGAGTCAGATTTCACTTGTGATAACAGCAATTGACATACTGAATTTCTCAGCTACCTAGATGTGATAGGATGGCTAAGACTTATGCTTTGGAACTTTGTATGACTGTACTTTAATAGATCTGCGTTTGCCACCTATCTCCAATGTGCAGATCCTCACAATATGTAATTATGAGCTGGAAATAGTTCTTAGCATGTAGTTTTCCCTCGAATCTGAAATTAATCTAGACAGCATAGAAGACTTGCATGTGTAGCTCCAGCTTAGATACAGCAGGAACTGCTCCACGCAGAAGCCGCTTACTGAGTCTTGTAATACATGTGCAGTAATGGCCAAATGCATGAGACTGTGAAGTCAATGCCCAGTTTATCACCTTTCATTACTTTATTTTTAAGACTCTCCAACCATCACAAACCAAACTGTGCCCCCTGATTTTTCTTCTCCATTATGTTGTTTCTAGCATAGTCAAATACTAATGCCATAGATTTGGGAACTGCTATTGCATCAGTGACAGTGAACCTCATCAGGAATTACACTTACTTCATGCTAGCTGCTTGGCGTTTCCTGGTTATGTTAACTCCTCAAGATCTCTTATGGTAGGACACCCAAGTTTAAAAAATTAATATATCGACCTATAAATTAAAGTGGACGTTGATGGAATGGGAATTGCATTTTTAAACATGTCCCTAGAAAAGTGAAACAGAACCATGAAGTTGTTAAGAATTCTGTTGCTGGCTCCCTACAATGCTTTCTTGATAAGCTGCTGAAGCCATGTATGCCCTCTAAATAAATAAATAAATAAAAAGAATGTTTTCATCATGCAGTTGAAAGCTTCAGTAATTCTGAATAGCTTCTTGATCTTACTTTGTTACATTTTTTTCTTCAGTTAATCCCATTCTCTCTATTTAACAAAATATTTGGAGGACATTAAGCATTGCGACTGCTGTCTGTCACATAGAGTTTCTTCTGCAAGGCAAGAAGTGCATGAAGTGAATTGGCTTGTTTTGGCAGGATTTTTTCAAAATTAGATTGCATGGATAGCTAGGTTTGTATCTATGTATTGTGAAGAAGCAAGGTTAAAAATTTGTCTTGCCCATGGAGCACAAGGTGAGGTTTGTACTGATCATTATTTTCCGTGGAGTTTATCCAGGAATCTTGAGCCAATCCCTTAATCCCAATGAGGAGTTCTCTTACCTGCACGGACCATCAGGCAGCCGGGAGCAGTCAGGAAGTTCTAGAGTCAGCAGATCTGAGCTGTCTGCTTAATGCATATGTTTGGGTCATTGGTTCCTCAACAGCCCTGCTAGGAAGCTGGTCTCAAAACTCAGTGGGATTTTGTTTTCAGCTAAAATGTATTTACAAATCATTTCAGTTTTCTGACAGAAACTTGTTTCTGTGGTACAGCCCCAGTCAGCTCTTGTGGATGGGATGCTCTTAGTAAACCTTCAGCTCCAGCCCTCTAAATCACGACTAGAAGAATAGATTTGCCAGACAGGCAATACCTTCAGTCCCATAATCTCTGTATTTACAGTTACCAATACCCCCATCCCAGACACAGCTAGCGTCAGTCTCTGGTCAAAA